AATTTCATTGGTTGGTTAAGAATACCCAAAAATCTGGTAAAATTCTTGCTATTGGCAACGCTGCACAAACGGTGACGGTGGCGACCTCACGACGGCGGGGGTATGAAACTTAACACGCATTGACCTTGACGGTAAGAGTGGATACACTGTGGGATAAAGGCCTGCAAATAAACGTTTCAAATACGAAGTATTTCATTCGCAAGGAAAAAGTATTTTTTGCGAAAATTTTAAGCGTTTGAGACTTGGCAACCATGTTACAAAAAACATTTCACAGAATTTTATTGAAAACCGCTTATCGATACATTGTGTCATTCTCGAGTTATAAGCTTCTAAATCGTGATAATTTTCGTTTGGAAGTTATTCACATGGTTTCATAAAAAAGTAAATGTTTCCCTGAAAACTTAAATAAATGCTTACAATGTATACATTTCTGAGGATGTTAAAAATTATATGATGTTCTATTTAAAGTAAGCTCATAATTTTGTTTCTTTTTTTGGCATTTTCCAGAAAAAATTAGATGTAGCAACAATGTCAACAAAAAATTAAAGTACATATACCAAGTCTGGTACATCTGGTCGATATCTTTTTCTATTCTCGAGTTATGAGTTATAAAATGTATTAATCTATAGATGTATTACCGTTAAGAAACTACTGTATGTATTACTTAATTAAATCTTCTGTATCCTTCCATTTAAATAGGTTACTCGCCTCGCTCGCTTCTCTAGCTCGGCTCATAATTTTAGACTAGTTCGATGACTTGGTACATAAAAACTATTATTTTACTCTTCACACAGTAGTATGTGAGAGTATTATAGAGTTTCTTTCAAGAACCCAAATTTTTTATTCATCCAAATTTAAAAATATTTGTACCAAAATCCATTTCATCAAATTTTAGACAACTTTTAAAAATGTCCGTCCGTCCGATGTCATTTTTTTTGTCCGCGCAATAAGTCAAAAACGAAAAATAATAAGAACTTAAAATTTTCAGAAAAAATGAATCTTTATAATGGTAAAAAGTTTATTAATTTTAAAAAAAATCTGATTAAAAATGGAGTGTTAAGGGGGGTTAAAATTTAAAAAAAAATATCAAAAATTAAAAACGAAAAACAATATCAACTTGAAATTTTTAGGATATATCAATTTCTATAAGAAGACGAAGCCTATTGATTTTGAAAAAAATCTGATTAATAATGAAGGGGTTAAAACTTTAAAAAAAAATTATGAAACAATAACGAAAAACAATATCAATTTGAAATTTTCAGGAAAAATCAAGCTCTACAATGTTTGTTCGATTGTCTATTGATTTTTAAAAAAATCTGAATAAAAATGGGGGTTGAGGAAGTTAAAATTTTAAAAAAATCATAAATCAAACATGAAAAGCAATATCAACATGACATTTTCAAGAAAAATCAATCTCTGCAATGGGATCGAAGTCTAAAGATTTTCAAAAAAATTTGATTAAAAATTAAGGATTAAAGGGGATTAAAATTTAAAAAAAAAAATCATAAATAAAAAACAGAATACAATATCAACATGAAATGTATAGGAAACATCAAGCTCTATAAAGGGATTAAACCTATTTATTCGGAAAAAATATCTGAATAAAAATGGGGAGTTAAAAGGGGTTTTGCTTAACTGTGAAGAGTATCATATAGAATGCCAAGCATTATATATATTCATTCTAGTTTAAAAATAAAGTTAAGTGTGTCTTTAGCACTTTGTGGAAAACCTCCAGCTGGAAAAAATGGAAATGGACCTATAGTTGGTAGCAATTTTTTGTAAAGAATAGTTTCTTTTAGGGATGATGACGGTATACCAATATTCTTACATAAGTTAAACATTCTTCGATAAAAGGAGATATTCTTTTAAAGATTTTATTATATTTTTTATTTTATTTGTATTAGTAGGATGCAATACAAAACTACTTGGAATATAAATTCTTGGGGACAGGTAATTGGGAGATTGTATAATTTAGCTACTTTTCTCCAGTTTTCTTTTTTTGTTAGAAAGGGGGTACTTCAGGGATGGTCCCATATAAATTTGTTTAAGATGTGGTGACGGTATCTGCACGTTTTTAAATTCGGTTTTTTTTAAGTTTTTTATTTCTAATACTTGTAGGATGTAGATTACGCTGTTAAAATATGACCGTCTAATTTCGGAACACCCTATATATTGGAAATTCGAAATAATAGTTATGACGCAGCGGTGTTCCTCTAATTGTAATCGGACCCTAGGTATATGGATACGGAAAGTGATGAATTGGAGATAGGTAAATTGTATTTATTGTATTAAAGGAACAACAAATATAAGTACAATTAAATAAGTATATTAATATAACAATTTTTAAATGTCTGTATAAATTTTTTTTTCACATAGATTATTAAATTAAAAAAATAACTATTAAAACACGAAATGTTAATTTTTTCTCTTTTACAACACAAATTATACAATACTGTTGAATCAAAATTGTCTCTTGGCAGCAGGTGGTTTTTGTGACGCGACAATTATGATGCTTTGCATCTCATGAATTAAAGCTAATTCTCTTTCAATCTTAAGGTTATCACACCCCTTATAGAATATCTCAAAATATTTAAATTTTGGCAAAATAAATTAGGCAATAATATCTAGAATATGCATATGTTTTAATGTTTTAATTCCTTCCAGTTTCCGAAAAAAAACTAAAATGGCTTTAATTTTGAAATATCATAATGAAAATAAATGCATTCCTCGACAGCACTATTCTTAATATAATCCACAAATTTAAGCTCCTAATGTCTTGTTAATGATTTCTTAAAATTCGCCAAAATTAGTGGCTAAAACGCCTCGTTAAGTGCTATCTTCTGGTGTAAACTGGTGTAAATTGTTGCAAGAAACGAATAATGACAGAGAGTACGATACGATAGTTACAAGCGCGTTACACCGGAAGGCAGCACTTATCATATTTAATTTTTTTTCTCGGAAACTGAAAGGAATTAAAACTTTAAAATATAGGCATATATCTAGTTAATATTACTTAATTTATTTTGCCAAAACTTTAAGTTTTTAACAAAATTACTTTTTTAAATATCCTTGTCCGAAAATTATGAAGGCTGCTGCATTCACCTTAATATACCAACATACACGGTGTTCAAAAATTCATGCGACAAATTTTAGAAGGTGATTGCTCGTATGAAATTAGGATGGGTCTTTTCTTTAACAAAATTTCCTCAGCCCATCCTTTTCCGAGATATCACCCTTAAGAGGTGGTGACTAAAATTTAGTTTCTATTTTTTTTTCTAAAATTTCAGTAAAGCTAGAAACTGTAATTTTCGTGCACTTGTAAAGGACTAACCACGGTTATTTTTTCAATATTCCTGTTACATTATAGGGGGCTGAAATTAGCAACCCTTACTTTATTTTATATCAAAACGTTTTTTCGAGATAAAGTTTTATGAAATAATTTTGTTACTTGAAATCCTTGTTTTATTTAAAAAAAAATTATTTTTAATTTTTTTTCCCAAAACCAATAGCTTCATAGAAAAAAAATACTGTTTTCCACTCAATTTATTAAAAAAAAAATGATAAATTAGGGTGTTTATTTTTTTCTCTGAAGCTATTGGTTTTGGGACAAAAAAATAAATAAAACAAGGATTTCAAGTTATAATTTTATTTCATAAAAGTTCATCTCGAAAAAAAGTTTTGATGTAAAATAAAGTAAGTGTTATTATTATCATAAATATTGAAAAAAAAAATACCCGTGGTTAGTCCTTTGCGATTACAGAATTGCAAGTTTCTAGCTTTACTAAAATTTTAGAAAAAAAAAATAAAAACTCAATTTTATTCACCACCTTTTAAGGGTGATACCTCGAAAAGGGGTGGGCTGAGGAAATTATGTTATAGAAAAGACCCATCTTAATTTCATACGAGCAATCATCTCCTGAATTTAGTCGCATGTATTTAGAAACACCCTGTATATTACACATTTTTTTTAAGCGGGCAAAATTCTTGACAATCTCTTTTCCCTAATTGGCACATGTCGTATTTCTCTACGATTTACTAACTCTGGCAGCAAACAATTAAAATAGAAATGTGTCAGCTGTGGTAGCATTTTTGCCTTCCAGAATTTTTCATTTCATAAATTAACTAAAAACTAAATTAAACAAAAACCTAACAACGCCCCAACAACAAACTAAGACGATTAGAATAATTTCGCACCTCTTCAAAAACAACTACCTATTTTTCGATACAGGAATTAACAAATTTAACTAAACAGCAGCTACCCTTTTAACCACGGGCTTCATAGACTAGCAGCGTTGCCATATTCACTGGTATCATTGGTTTAATAGAATTAGTATCGGAATGAAAACTATGTTAATCTTTGGTCCTGTTTAAAATTGGTAATCTTTTTAAAAAAAGTTATTTAGAAAATAGTTAAGATATTTGTTATAGAATGACGCTAAAGAGCAAAAAAATTAAATTTGTTAAAAAGTTGAAATTTTTGTTTTTTTTTAAATATAAGTTTTTCGCGATTTAGCGTCATTCTTGGTTCATTTTTAGAATGATTGGCCTGAACCATTTTTTTTACAATTTTTTTTTAACTGCCTCAAATGGAAAATTGTTTTTTGGCGGAGGAGCGCCCGTCATGTTTGCTCTTAAGTAGATATTCTAGACCACGAGAGGTTTTTTTTAAGGTACCAGTTGTCCAGAAAAGGTTGTTAACCTCTACTTTCTGCTTTAAACCATTTAGTTGTATTTTGTGTAAAGGATTAAAATGGTAAATAGTCCTTTCTATATTTAAACTACATACTTGTAATTCATAAAAAAACATTGTAGTTAGTAGTTAGAGGATGTTTTCTACGTATTTCATACATTCAGAGACCAATAAATTTGCACTTGGTACCTACTATCGATAACATTTAATGAAATTATATGATTCATAATCTATTTGACACAAAAAACGCATTAATGCTGATGTTTGAAAAACATGTAATACAGTAATTACTTTTTATTATTATTAGGTGTTTTCAATAAATCATTACGTATGCCTAATCAAAATCGAATGAGACATTTATTGTTTGTTTAATTTTTTGCACATAGGGCAAGGTTGTTTTGAATAAAATCAACAATAGTTTATAAAACAAAACTAGTTTATTGTTACGCTACATTTTTATCATATAGTTTGCATTATTAGAAGATTTAGCTGTTAAGAAGTTGATGTTAAAAATATAATTATGGAATTTCCTAAAGTGTTATTTTGTCTTGTGGTATTATTGGTAAGTTTTTTTATTATTAAGAAAACAAATTAAAACATCCAAAATTGATTAAACTATTATAGTCCATCGTCTGACTGCAAAGAATATCGTTTTCTTTGCTTGCTATTTATAGTTCGGTTAAGGGGAAGGGGTGAACAACATGTTCTATGTCCAGATTGTGGGAGCTGTCGTGTAACCTGTCAAATTAAAAATAATATTTCATATCGATGGAATTCTTCGGTTTTTTTACTGGTAATGAAAGAATTTGCTTCTAAACATATATAATAATAAAAAAATTCTTTTGCATGATTTTTTTATCATTGAGTTTTGCTACTTTCAGCATAAGTGTAGGAATTTCTCTTTATCGATAGTAGTAAAACCGGACGACACAAAATACAAAGGGATTTTTTATTGTTATATACGTCTAGATGCAAATTATATCGTTGTCAATAAAAAACGAAATACTCCATCGATAAGAAACATTTCACAACAGATTCTATAGCCAGGACATAGTAAATGATTTGTTACCTCTTCTCCTGTACCCAACTACCTTAGATTAAAGAGACCGAAGTTAACTACAAATATTAAGCAAAAAACACGACATGTCACTTTTTTGCAGTCGGATGAGGGACATTAGGACTATAATAAATACTTCTAGAAGACTACAGAGGGCCATACATCTTTATTAGATTTAAATGACACAAAAGCTGCAGTTTAATAGGCATTTTTGAAGATACTTTTCTTTGTCAATATAAAAATAAGGCCCAATCATCGTAGCAACTTCATTGTTTTCTTGTCTTTAAACCATTACACTATATTCTCTTATTTCAATAGTAGACTTCAATAAAAACATTAGAATAAATGAATATAATGCTTTTCATTCTATATTATACTCTTTACAGTTCAACGGGTCCCCTTAACCCCCATTTTCAATCAGAATTCTTTCAACTGGGTTTTTCTTCTTATAGAGCTTGATTTTTGCTAAAAATTTCAAGTTGATATCATTTTTCGCTTTCGAGTTATTTTTTTATATTTCAACCTCCCTTAGGCTAAATTCAGATGAATAAATATTCAACGTGCGTTAACGAACGTTTTCTAACCAAACATTTAGATATCATAGTGTTTATGTCAAAGAAGTAGAGAGGGTAGAACGATAAGGTACCGTCTGCGCATCCATCACGAGTGTAGAAATTATGCGTGATTCAGCCTTCCACTCTTACACACGTAAATGACAAGGAGAGGTTGCCCTAAAGCACTGTAAACAAATTCCAGGATCGACTTTATTCAGCGATTATGTTCATGTTCAGCTCTGTTTTTTGTTTGTGTTTTGGCTGTTGTAAGATTTTTTTGGCGTCAATTCTTTGTTATCTTGCTTATATTTATGATTTTTTATGCTTTTATTCCGATTTAGTATTAAATTATACTTGTTAATTATTTTTCGATGCACTATTTTATAATTGTTGCACAAAATGTTGTTAAACCGTCCCTGAATTTTGTTTACAAAATGAGCAAAACGAAATTGTGCATAGTGTCCAGACTTTTTCATTGACAGTTATCATTCTACCCCTCTCCACTTCATTGGTTTATGTACAAACTATCACATGAACGCACGGAACCGGACGTTAACGAACGTACGCAGAAAATCTCAAGACGTTGTCGCACGGACATTACATGTGCGTTTTGAAAGATCCATAAAGATAATTTTGTTGTTCAGTTGTACGCGCCTATTTGCATAGGTATTGTTCATGAAAATGTATGAATCTGAAATTGACATCGAATTACTCATTGAAAAAGTAGAAAAGAAACCAGTCATTTTGAGTACATCTTTGGAATGTTATAAAAACAAAATTTTAATACGTCGGGCTTGGAAAGAATTGGTTTCAATGTTCTGTGATGACAATGACTGTCAAGAAAAAAAGAAAAATATGGATAAGCACAAACTTTATTTATATATAAAACCGTCTTGTTCACGTACAGAATTGAATTTTGTTTTCTGTACTTTAACCAATAACGTGAGAGTAAAGAGAGAGGCAAAAGTATGAAACGATCAACGATATTTACCACTGTTGTTTTATCGGAGATAATTACACTGTTAACTTATTTTTAGGTTTTCCTCACTCTGCATATTTATATCAATTGATCTTGATACGCAATTTTTCCTTCATTGACGAAATAATTCTAGAATTTTGTTCGGGTATTATCTACTAAAAGAGTAGGTCTCCAATGGTGATTGTTAGTTAAGTTTAATAGTTTTCCTTTCAATGATGCATCTAAATTCATCTCTCATCCGAACATAGTTATGCAGTACTGTGTTTGCCTTAATTATCTGTATGGCGCAATTATCATTAACATATATTGGTCGATGTAGTATTATCCACTTATTACTGGCTATACCAAAAGTACACTCAACATTACGAGCTAAAGTTAATCGATAATTAAATATTTGTTTCGTATGTTAGCTGCTTTCCATCGTAGGTCTTCATCAAATTTTCCATCAGTCCGAATGCTTCATCTGCTGCAATCACATAAGGTAGTGCCGTATCAAGCTTTTCTGTTAATGGTGATAGCTTTAGTATATTTAAAGATTTTTTTGAATAAAACAGAATCCTTAAAAATTCCTGAATCACTATCCTTGCCGTAAGCACCAATATCCACCTAAATGAACAACAGTCAGAGTCCCTCAACGGCAAGAGTGCTAGTGAAAAAAATCTCCGTTTCCTTTTATTTTTATTTTTCTTATAATATAAACCACCAAATAATTAGCTTATTTAACGTCCATCTTCCAGGCTTGACACCGACTATCTGGAACTCTTAGTAATAATTTGAACGTACGATGATGTGAGTTAATGCAAGTTATCTGAACTTAAGTAACACGTGCGGTTAGAAAACGTGCGTTAACGCTAGTTGAATATTTATTCATCTGAACTTAGCCTAAACCTTCCCATTTTTAGTCAGACTTGTTTCAATATAAATAGGATTCGTCTCCTTGAGAGCTTGATTTTCCTGAAATTTTCAAGTTGATAACATTTCGCTTTTTTGACTTATCGTGCGGACAAAAAACGTGACATCGGATGGACGAAGTTAGGCTAAGTTCAGATGAATAAATATTTAACGTGCGTTAACGCACGTTTTCTAACCGCACGTTTAGATATCATAGTGTTTATATACAAACTATCACCTGAACACACGGAACCGGACGTTAACATGCGGTACCGCGAGTTTACGCAGAAAATCTCAAGACTTTGTTGCACGGACGTTACACGTGCGTTTTAGACGATCAACAAAGATACTTTTGTTGTCTGATGGTGTTGGAGGATGCGAGATCATCCTGAATGTATTCTAACAACTCGTCAAATGATTTGATAGGCATTCTGAAGTAATTAAAGAATTTACATTAATTTGTTCTCAGTTTCGGGTATAATGCAAATAAACTAGTAGACAGTCTGTTTTCCAAAACAGGGTGAACCCAATATCTCCGTTTTCTTGTATTTTTATTTTTCCTATAACCACCAAATAATAGCTTTTTCAATGTCCATCTCCCAGGCTCGACCGAAACCGACCAACTGGAACTCCTCGTAATAATTTAAATGTACGTTGACGTGCGTTAACGCAGATCATCTAAACTTAATTTACACGTGCGGTTAGAAAACGTGCGTTAACGCTCGTTGAATATTTATTCATCTGAACTTAGCCTTAATCTGTAATCTGTATAATAATAGGCATGTATTTAAATCTACTCAGATGACGAATAAGAAAAGAGTTTCACAAGGATCAATATTGACCTCTCTAATATTTTTTTCTCTACATGGTGATCAACTTATATTTCGAAGTTTGATATCTCCGCTGGCAATATAGGGTTTTATCAGGTTCTACAGGACACTTTTAAAAAAATGGCCACTTTTATGTGAAAATCCTAATGAAAACGTCACCCTGTATTATTTAGAATAAACAATTGAGGGTTAATATCTCAAGTCCAGAATACTTTTGTGGTAGTCTAGTTTTGTTGCAACTCATCATGTTTTTGATATCTTTCATTTTGTATACAGGGTAACCCAAAACTCACGACCATGATTTTCTCGGTAATTTCAAATGGAACACCCTGTATATTATATCATTTTCATAAATTAGTTACAAAATACTTTTACTTTTGTTAAGCATTGCCTATACCTATATGTTACAGTCTTAGAGTTTTTTCGATTTTTAATAATAAAACGATATTTTTGGCAAATACTGAAAATTTCTTATAGTTGGCCATGACTGCCGTATTTGACAGAAGGTATTAAGTAATGTTATGTTTGTCAACTAATTGTCAATTAATATTTGAGTTTTGATTCGGTTTTTCTTGTTGTTTGCGTATACTATGGAAATTGGCGAACGATGAATTCTTCCAATGAGGAATTAGTCGATATGATCTGGATACTAGGAGAATGTCATAAAAATAGCTTGCTAGCAGTAGGGGTGTATCATGAAAGATTTCCAGAGCGCCGATTACCTAAAAAAAGAAATTTCGAGAAAGTCATGGATCGATTTAATCGTACAGGTAATGAAGCGTATGAAAAAAAGGAAAAACGAAAACCGTTCGTTATTACTGAGGAAAATGAACTCAATGTATTATTAGTAGTTACGAACAAGAAATAGCTTATGGAAGTGTTAAAAAAATACTATCAAACAATTAGATGTACCCATATCACATTCAGTTACACCAGGAATTATTGGATGATGATTTTCGGCGAATAATAAACTTTTGTAATTGGGTACAAAGAAAAATTCATAAAAATTGTTTATTAAATCGACATAATTTTCACTATTATGCCAGAGAAAATTCTTATGCGATAGTTACTACTTCTCAAACAAGATAATATTTAAATGTTTGGGGTGATATTGTTGGTGATTATGTTATTAGACCATATTTTTTTGAGGAAACAGTTAACAGTCAAGTTCATTTAGACTTTTTGGAGAATCAGTTGCCTATACTTCTTGAAAATGTTTCTCTTCGTATACGTCAGCAAATGTAATATCTACATGATGGGGCTCTAATACATCATAATGCAGCAATTCATGGTCAACTTGATAATCAATTTTCAAAACGATGGCTAGGTAGGGGAGGACCAATTGAGTGGCCAGCTAGATCGCCAGATCTAACAAAAGTTTTTTTTTTGTGTGGGTATGTGAAAAATAAGGTGTACAGAATACCTATAACTTCAAGAGAGGGCATGAAAAATAGAATTAGGGTTGTTTTCAAAAATTTTGTATTCGAACGCCTAGAAATGTGTGGAGGTCATTTGAATATCGGACACAACTCTGTTTAAATGTAATGGGAGGTCATTTTGAGCAGTTATTGTAATTATTTTGTTCTAAGTACTATTTCGAATTTTTTATTTAGTTAATAGCTGTTAGTATTAATGATAGTCTTGTTAAAAAATCTATAGTTTTATTTTTTATTTTTAGATTATTTATAATTAACGTGTTTTTCAAGCTGTCAATTGCCAATTCTACGAAACTTTCAGTATTTACCAAAAATATCGTTTTATTATTAAAAATCGAAAAAACTCTACGACTGTAACATTTAGATATATTGAATGATTAACAAAAGTAAAAGTAGTTTGTTAGTAGTTTATAAAAATGATACGGGGTGTTCCATTTGAAATAACCGAGAAAATCATGGTTGTGAGTTTTGGATTACCCTGTATACAAAATGAAAGATTTCAAAAAACATGATGAGTTGCAACAAAACTAGACTACTACAAAATTATTCTGGCCTAGAAATATTAACCCTCAATTTTTGATTCTAAATAATACAGGATGACGATTTCATTAATATTTTCACATAAAAGTGGCCATTTCTTTAAAAGTACCTTGTAGAACCTGATAAAACCCTATATTGCTGGAATGAGGAAGATGAGCAAAATTCAAATTCGAGATAACATATTGGGCGTTCCACTAAAAAAACATAACTTTGGTTTGCTGTGACTTTATGAAATTACGAAATAATTTTAAAATGTGGAGCTGGACTCTATCTATAATTTGTATTTTAAACTGTTGTTCGTATCCCTTAAAACAACGGAGATATTAAACTCCGGAGTATAAGTTGATCACCCTGTATATTTCTGAATTATAGGAGTTGTTTATATGCTGATGATATGAGATTATTATTTGGTGAAAAATGATGATAAATCCTTAAAAATAAACTGTGGATTACATTTTATAAAAGTATCAATTAATACATTTCCTCTTTAAATCTTGATATAATTGTGGACAATTTTGATTTCATTACACATACATCTTGAGAGCCGTTAATATATTATTATTATTCTTTTAGGTACCAAATATAATGTGCATGACTGAAAATGTAGAGGACTCTGGATCTATAGAAATTCCTACAAGAAAACCAAACAGAGGGTAAGAGAATTTGTGAAAAAAATATATAAATAATCGTTGTTGGGCTATTTTTGTTTATTTAGAGATGATTTTGAATATTCTTATCACAAAACGTTTCTTTTTAAAATGACAGGGTGAATGGTTATAGACTAATCTTGTTTTCAAAAATCGAATTGCAAACATTCTCAGTGTCATCCACGTTGTTATCAAATAATTATGAGAGAGTATGACACAGTCTTGATATAAGGATTTTTAAGGTTATAGTTTGGAATTGGCTTAACATAAGGCTCCAAAATGCATAAAACACTTTCAAAATAACATTAAAGAAGTATATTTGCATTTTTAATACCAAATATTATCAGTTTAATGTAATTTTCTAATAGTTGATTTCCAGGAAAGTACCCAATTTATTTTAAAGTGTGACAGGAGTGTAAATCAAGCTTAGTAGACTTAATGAATGACTGATTCATACAAACACACTCGCGTAAACAATCTGAATGCTTGCAAAAAATAAGAACTTAATTTTAAATGAATGGATTACTTTAGTAGTTTTTCATCGTTGCGTAATAAATAAGACAAATCGATGTAAATAATAAAGATGGGAAAATAAACAGAATGATCATTTAGAAATAGCATAAAAATATTGGTAAGAATAAAAGTGTGACAAATTTTTAAAAGAAAGTAAGAAAGAGGATGAAGGAGAAACATAAATAGAAAACATTTGTAACAAAATTAACGAAGAAAAAACATTATAGGAAAAATTAATCACCTTAAAACCAATGTTGATAATCAAATAAAAAATGATAAAAAATATAAACAAATTTGAACTGGACATTTATATATAGAAAGTGCTGAGTGGTTAGAAATTAATATTATTTCGTCGTTGATATTGCAAAATATCATATGTCAAAATAGAGCTACCTTTCAGGAGAGAAAAAACAACCAACTGTCACATGAAAACAGTTGGCCAAATAATAAAAATGAATCGGTTTATACATTCACCACTGTCACATGGAAACAGTTGGTCAAATAATAAAAATTATATTCGTTACAGATTATCTAAGTACATGCAGACTTTTGTTTAGAAGCAACACCGTTAATTTTAGCACTATAAAAGGTTCTTATTTTTTTACTTTCCTATCTATATACAGATAAGGAAAGTATAGAAATCATGATTTTTTTTTCGACCTCGAGTTTTCGACGGTTTTTTACGTTTTGGGGTCCCCTGAATCCATTTTAACTATTTTCGCGATGATGTCTGTGTGTGTGTGCGTTTTTGTGTGCGCGTGCGTGCGTGTGTGTGTGTTGTGTGTGTGTTGTGTGTGTTGTGGGTGTTGTGTGTGTGTGTGTGTGTGTGTGTGTGTGTGTGTGTGTATGTGTGGGCGCGAATTTTACACTTAAGCTTTATTCCGGCCTCTAGTGAACTGATTAGATTTTGGCCAGAGTCACAATATCTGGGGGTTACTTTATTAGTGATAATTTTTATATTTTATCGAATATATCTGTTATTTACGTTTAGAGAAGAAATTTCTTTGTATAAAAATTACTAACAATATTATTATCTATAATTTTTGTTTTTTACAAATTTTTCCTAAAATGGTCCGGATTCGAGAAATTTGACAAAATGTAAAAAAAATCATTTTTTATAAAAATTGTTCAATTAAAAGTTGTTTGCAATATATTTCTCTATAATTTTTATTTTATACATACTTTCTCTAAAATTGACCGTATTCGAGATATTTGAGAAAATGTGTAAATTTCGAACTTCGAACTCAAAAACGAATTGAGGAAGAAACATTAAATTTTAAAATTAAGTTTTATTTCGGCCTAAGGTGAAAAGATTTGATTTTGGACAAAGTCGGAACATCTGGAGGTAATTTATAGGAGGTCGTTTTTGTATTTTATGGAATATATCTGTTATTTATGTTTGGAGAAGAAAATTGTTAAAATATTATTATCTATAATTTTTGTTTTATGCCAAATTTTCCTGAAATGGTCCGTATTCGAGAAATTTGACAAAATGTGCAAAATTCTGATTTTTAGGAAAATTGTTAAACTAAAAGTTGTTTGCATATCGTAAAAATAGGGGGAAAATTGACACTAACCTTGATTGCACGCCACTGGTAAAAAATTTTAAAAGTTAGTTTATGTCAAAATATTACATTCTTAAGAAAATATATATTTAAAGACGTTTTTGATTAAGAGTCTTAAACGACAATAACAATTTTTAGACAATTTTAAAATTTAAAATTTTCATCTAAATACAAACCCAGGTTCTTTTCACAAGAAGAAAATTTTATTTGTTCTTCATTTTCTCTGAATTGCATAACCGTTTCAAGCATATTTTTATATATTTTTGGAGAAAACAACAAAGATTTTGATTTTATAGCATTTAATTTCAAACCATTTCCTTTCATGTATTCACATTTAGTTATATCAAACGTATATAATAGGAAGAGAAGAGGTCCTAGCACAGAGGCCTGCATTTCTCTGTATCTGGTACGTGTGGAGGGTGGGTTACCCCACGACACTTAGGCCTCAGCGGGCCCATTGTGCATCCTCCCAATATTATAGGCACCTCCTAGCTCGTGAGCCGCTAACAGATTTAATGTAGTTGACAACGTCGCGAAGAGATGCTTCTCTTATATCGGCCGGTGTAAGACTATACTCGCCGAACACAATTCTTCTAATAAATGGGAGTGTCGGGCAATCGTAGAGGACATGCTCAATGATCTCCTTTTCTTGTTCGCACCCCCTGCAGAGTGAGGTCCCATGATATAGAGATACTTCCATGACTAGGCGCAGATTCTATCTAGTCATAGTCAAGAATTTGTTTGCTGCAGTGTTGTCAAGATAACTTAGAAGCTCCCTGGTAACTCTGCAGTTTCTTGTTTTATCTTATATTTCCATTCACAAGGTAATGTTCTTTAATTAGGTCTGTCACTACCGATTTTTTCAGGCCAATAGAAGGGCCAGGTCTAAAAAGTAATTTGGTTGGCTGATTTCTTGGCAAGTGAATCAGCAAGACGATTATCTTCTGATGTGGCGTGACCTTTGATCTGTCTTAAGGTGACCATATAGTTGATGGATACTTCGACCAAAGCTTCATGACGTTCCAGTACTAATACTGTTGACATATTGTTATCAAAGGAATTGATAATGTAATCACAAACTCTTGTTAGGGCTGTTACTGTACTAAGACCACTTCTGAATCCGGATTGATCACCAACTATCAATTTGAAACTATTAATATAATCATTAAACGGAAAATAAACAACTTTTTTAAAGTAACATAGGGAAGGTAAATGACGTATGCCAGTTGATTAATCTAAAATTCATAGGTACGTCATTTATCTAAAACGATAACACAGTTCCTGATAATGGTTCTGGTACGTTTTTGTTTAGCCACCCTGAGTTAATTCAAAATCAGCCCCTCACAATATTTATTTTTTTTTACTTTACTTGTGATACTTCTAAAAAACACTAATAATCTGTTTCTTATCGTAGGTCCAACAATGGATTCTCAGTATTCCGACCAGCAGACGATGCACTATTTAATTTTATTAATAAATTGGTCAACACCAGCTATCTATCATCGAAAATGGTTCTCAACAGAGTCAGAACCCAAAGCGAAGTTAGAAAACAAATAGAAGATCAGGTAGAAGAATTTTTGGAAAGTCTACCGAACGTCCCAATACCAATTTTGGATGACCTGACTCCGTCGGAAAAATCGAATTATAATACTAAATACAATGAATAATAATGGCTATCTTCTTATATATTTTTTTTATATTATGTTTTACTGAAATAAACGAATTTATTTTCCATTTTTTATTATTGAATATTTATAGTGTAGATAATAATAATAATAATAATAATAATAATATTGATGACTTTATTGCTTTCAATACATACAAATTATTACACAAAATTATATAGATAATATACATAAATACTGAAAGACAAAAGGCGACGTTCGCTTTTACTGGCGAGCTCAAAGATTGAGCCAGCAAATAAGCAGCGCTCTTCCACGCAACCCAGAAAAACATAAATAATTAAGTAATGAATACAGATTTTTTATAGAAAAAAGAAGTAAAATTCTAGCTTTCAATAAGAAAGCAAACAAACAGTTAATATGGAAACTTAGAAATAATAAAAAAAAAAAATAAAAAAGGTCAAATTTTAAAAATTCTAGATTCTAGATCTGTGTTGTTATTGTAGTTATTAATCAATAGTGACGAGTAAAAAATTGAAATAACATGAAATATTATTGTTAAACTAAATTTAATTAACAATTTAAATTAAAAATTGTAAATGATATCTTCGTTAAATAAAAGGTTTTTGACGTCTTTCCTAAAACGTGAGAGTGATGTGATATTAAATATTTTAGGGGCAAGGTTAAATAATTTGGCTGTGAAATACGAAAAGCAAGATCTGAATAAAAATGTAGTGTGTTTCGGAAGTGTTAGGAGATTTTTAAATCTTACATTAACATTATGGACTTTTTATTTTTTCATGCAAATAATCAGGTTTTTTTGATAATAATAATTTATGGATCAGGATATAGGCATGTAACAACCTCCTATTATTTAGATTAAGCCATCCCAAACTAGCCAGACGTTGAGATGTACGGGTGCGACGACGAATGCCGCCAATAAATCTAACACACGCATTTTGAGTTCGTTGTAAACGGTTTTTATGAAATTGTGTAAGTGCAGGCCCATATACAATGTCACCGTAATTAAACTGAGACAGCATTATGCCTTTGCAAACCAACTTTTTGGTATTTCTGTTGAGGAAATTCCCGATTAGGATAAATTAACTTTAGATTACAGAAAGACTGTTTTATTATAGAAGAGATATATGTTGCGCGAAGGATAAATCTTCATCAATGTATATGCCCAGATTTTTCTCACAAACTGAAAATGTTAAAAATGTATTATTAATACTTATACCTTAGAATATTTTTAATTCTATTTTTAACTTTTTTGCGACCAAAAAGCATAGCTTTGGATTTTGTAGCCTTAATTGTTAAGCAAAATTTGTTAGATATCTCCGAGATAGTTTGCAAATCTTCGTTGATTTTTGTGATAGCGTCATTTGATTCGGATTCTTTAAAGTGAAGGTAGAGTTGAGTGTCATCAGCGTAGAAATGAGAATTCATGTGTTTCAGATATTTGAAAAATTGAGAGGTATAAATTGAAAATAATAGAGGACCTAAAATAGATCCCTGCGGTACTCCACGTGTAATATGTATTAAATTGGATGTTTTTTCTTCTATTTGAACCCTTTAATATCTTCCATTTAGGTAAGAGCTCAATAAGTTTACTGAGACTGTGTTAAATCCCAATCAAATGACATAAAGCTAACAGTGAAGAGTGATTTATTTTGTCAAAAGATTTTCAGTAATCAAAGAGAATTATACTCTGTTTTTAAACTAAGAGAAGCGACTTGAATTTAAGTTGGCAATTCTGTAGACTTCTAATTGGTCAGATTGAAGTCAGTTTTACACATTACTTTTTAGCTACTGTTGACAGTTCTATTCTGACATTTTATAATTTGTTTTGTTATTGCTTTGATATCTCATCATTATTACTTAGTTTTTTGTTTTATTTCTTTATTAACAGTTCTTTTTAAAACTTTAGTAAGCAATTGTATTGAATTTCTACGATTATGGATCCTTCTACATCGAATACTATTATAACAGTTCCTCGCGGAGTCCATCAAAACAACGAAAACGAATGAGTTTAGGCTATTCAAGCAGTAAATAATAAATATGTACAAATAGGTATTGGATAATAATACGGTAACCAAAATTATTGACGTTATATCCAAAATTTCTCAAGCTGCCGGTAAGTTTTACTCATTACTTTCAAATTAAAAATAATATTAAATACTCAATATTTTTCTTACAGGTCAAAGTCAACTACTTACCGATTATTGAAATAATACCGCAATAATGGAACAATATCTGGTCTAAAAAGTATTTATGGAAGACGAGGAGTTCTAAAAACATTTGATGATGATAAATGCTATTCGAAGATTAGTACACGATTTCTTTTTCAAAAATGAGTTAACTAGATTAAATAAAATTTTGCAAGAATTGAAACATTTAGATTTGCCACAAATATATTATTCATCTTTATATACTTTCTTGAGATATATTAACTAAGTAAGTTTGTAATTTTGATCAGTCAAATGTACTGTTTATTTATTATGTATATATTTTTTTAGATATTTAAAAAGAAATTGTCAAAGTGTATTGATAGAACACTATATACGTAGATTTAAAATCCATCAAACAATATAGAAAAGAAAACAGGACAAGCTTCTACTTTGATGAAGATCATAATAAGGTTTATCAACAGGCCTGAAAAGTCAAGGGTAGGTGCCTTGATATACATGCTAATTCTGAAGGTTTTGTAGAAAATGCATTTACTGTGACGAGACGAAATCCGAAATATTTTAGAATTGGTTTTCTACATTTTTTACAAATTTTTCTAATGATGCTATGATTGTGATGGAAAATGTATCATATCATAGTCGAAAAAATTCCTTTGTCATCAAGAAAATCTGACAGAAATGGTTACAAAACTAAAAATTTTAAATTTATTTAAATATGAAGTGATATCAACTTTTACACCTAATTTGGCAATATAAAAATGCACATAATTTGAATGTTGTCGATGTAAAGGCTAAAGACACCAATAAAGTTGTGTAGTGGCTGCCCCATATCACTGCGAGTTAAATCCCATTTAATTGATAGAGGCACAAATAAATGAGGTGGCAGCTAAAAACACAACGAATCTTCTGATGTTGGTTAACATATTGAGTACTTAGTGTTTTTTGTTTCTGTTTCAATGTAAATGACAAGATGTACCTTGTCTTTTCAGTTATTATGTTGTATAGGCACCTCTTATGTATTTTTGTTTTATTTTTCAAACTTTATTATTAATTAAAATATAACAAATTTACAAAATAAAGATACTACTATTCATATGTTGTTTTTTTTAACCCATATTAAAAAAAAAATACAAAACTACAATGTAGTATACAAAAATTACAACTGCTCTCATTTTTATTATAAAATTGTGGTACCTTACACACATTTAAGCCACTCTGTATTTAACATAAATAAAAATTCTTGTTCTGCAAGGTATAAGTGGTAAGAGTAGATTTGAGCAGCCGTTTTTGAGATATCTGGATTTATAAAAAAGGCGTCCTTTAAATTTTACAATAAAAATGGGAGCAGCTTTAAATTTTTCACCCCTTCCTAACCAAATATTTTATAAATACATTAATTATTAAAAAAATTATTTATGAAAAACTAAATTGAACTTTTAACTCTCTGTATTTCTGAAATTATCCACTTTTGGACTAATATAAGTTGGGTTAAGTTTCCGCAATATTATAAATTGGTAAACATTGCTTTTTTGGTGTTCTACTTAAAAAAAGTTACAACTTTATTACTGATTTTTTTTAAACTAAAAATTAATGAATTTCTAATCAAAATTATTAAAATGTAACTAAATATTAAAGTAAATTTTATTTATTTGAAAATAAACCATTTACAAAATTGTTAATTAACATTTAAATTAAAACTACAAAATATTTTGGATATATTTAAAACTGCTATTGTCATCTGAATATGTCCATAATTTGTGGCCTCCAAAACTTTCATTATTTAACCTAAAACAAATACCTTGTTTTATTATTTTAAATAAATAGCTTGGTACTTAAATAGTCAAAAGCATAAAGTGTTATCACTTTAATACTGCACCAAAGTGCAGCACCCTTTTTAACATTAAATTGCTATATGTAAAAGGACTTTTCAAACAAGTGTCAAAAATGTTCTCTAGATATAATATAAAAATTGCTCATGAACGAAAAATACAACGAAACCTTATTTTCAAATTTTAAACCCAAACTCAAGAAAGCAACTCAACTAAATGTAGTTTATAAAATAGACTGCAAAGATTATAACTACACTTACACATATTAAACTCTGTGAATATGTAAAAGAATTGTCAAACATGTATTTTAATTTAATCAACTAGTTGTAAGCTACCTACACACACACTATCACAAAATATGGGTTTCGTCCATGATCATTTTAAAGTGTTTATGTTCCTAAATGTTTTTTTAAATTTTAAAAAGCTATGACTGCACCAGAAGATTCTGAAACATATGTAGTGCTGAATTATTAAAAATATAATCTACTTTTTTTATGCCTTAATCATTTTTATTTAGTTATTTGTTTATACAATAAACGATCATACAAAATTAAGATAGATATTATCTTACCTGGCAAATTAACATTTCATTTTCAAAAGGCTTGAAGGATGTCTCAAAAAATATACCATTTGCTTTATATTGTATAAAAATATGTTTTCGAGAAGACAAAAAAAAACTATATAAGAAAAAAATAATCATTTTTCTACCCAAATTAGAAAGTAAAGAAAGAATAAAAACAATAAAATTTTTAATATATACTTATAGTTTATTTTTATGTATGAGAGAGTATTAAAATAATAAAGCGTTCGTAATCCATAGGCATATCACTTCTTTTAGTAGATAGTTAAAATATTTTTTGAAGTTATTCCTCGAGTATACACTTATATTTTCACCTAATTAACCTGCTTATAACTTCTAAAGAGCTGAAGGTAAAAAAGTCCAATTTTTCCTAAATTGTTTTGTTTTTCCACAAGGTATGTTAAAAACATTGTGTCAAACGGGTTATGTAGGTATAAGGGTTTAAACTTTGACTTTTAAACAACGTTACGTTCATAAATAATAATTTTAATATAAAAACTACTTCTTGCCTA